ATGGCTTCTTTCCATTCCTGAAAGAAATCCCAGGATCCAAGAGAGGGCCGTCTGGGAACAGAGAAGGGGGTCCTTCCCTCTAAAGGGCGGCTCCACGGGACTCCGGCGGCTGGGGGGTCAGGGTTGGGGGAACGCTCCTGGTCTTTCTCGTGGCCCTCGTGTCTTTTTGAAATCCCCACCTAGGGTGAAAGGCAACGCCTGAGAGGGGAGTAAGAAAGGATTTTCTATAGAATGGGCCCAGACAGTATGAGTTCAGTATGGTGAGTTGGGTAAGTAAAGAGAGGGTAACAAACCGCAGAACATTGTGGCCAGAGCTTGGGTATTTGCAAGCGCGAAGCCGACGCGGTGCCTTCTCACTTTCCCGTCGTGGTGCCCAGAAGGTCCCAAGGGGACACTAGCGGGTGGGCAGGGCCCAGGCCTAGGGAGATGGACAAGGAGCCTCCGCCCCAGCAGAGCCAACCGGCCAGCGCGCTACGGCCGCGGAGAGCTCGAGCACCCAGCGACGCGCCCCTCCTTCATTAGCTTCCCCTCCACGCGGCGCTGCATGCCTCGGAAAATAAGTTAGCAAACGGGGAGCCGTTTATCTCTTTTATCTTGGGGCCTGATCCAATTAAATAAGTGCACATTTACATTTGCATCCATCAGGCGGGAGCGCTGAGAGCCCGGGGTTTGCTCGGAGCAAATAAAAGCAGATTTCACTGGGAAAAGTGGCGTCTGGGAGCGCCGGGCTCGTCCGGGCGCCGGAAACGAGCGCGGCCGGGAGAGCGGCCTTGGGGACCCAGGATTGGGGCCTGCGGCCGACTGGAGGCAGGAGATTTCCAAAGGCCCCTAGAGGGGCCGGTCAGCGCGGTGTGTGCAGCTAGAGCTGCAGCCCGGCCCCTGACGCGATCTTGTTAGGCCACAACCTTGTGCCTGGGACCCAAGTCTCATTTAGCGTGAAAACGAAAAGGAGACCAGCTCTGGCCTAGTCCAAAAGGGAGACCCACGGCGTGGGTCTAGGGACAGTCCCGCCGCTTTGGCCAGTTTGGGGGAAGGGCAGGAGGTAAGATCGCAGTCAGGCCCGATTTTCCTATTTGGTAGCCAAGTGGCAAGGAATGAGAAGAGCCAGGCAGAAGGCGCTCTCCCGCTGTTCCCAGCATCCTTGCACCACGGAGACCGGTTGATAACTACCCATTAGCGCTTCTAGAGAGGTAGAGGGGGACGTCCAGGTGAGCACCTCCTGCTTTGCCACGCCGACTTCATTAAAGGTGCTTGCGAAACTGGAGAGTTTGAAAAATTAGAGGGTAGTTTTTTTTGTTTTTTCCTTTTCCTAAACATGTCCTACCCACTGGCCAAAAGATAGAAATGGTCTTTGGGGGCGCGGCTGCGCGGTAGACTCGTAACTTGCCAAACCGCAGATTAAACAAAACTGTGCGGGGTCCAGAGGCCGGGTGGGGAAAGGCCAGCAGAAACGGAAGTGCGTGCACCTGAAGGGAAGCGGGAGCACCAGCATCGCCTGGGCTGCGCACCGCTGCGGCCCCCACCCGCAGGCTGTTCCAGCCGCCGGCGTATTTCTCAATTGCCTGCCGCCTGGTTTTCGAGACTGTGCCCAAAGCCGTGGCAGGAATCCGAAGGGCTAATACTCTTCTAGTCACAGGCGCTACTATCTGAATCCTCAATGCTAGCTGGGTCCTGGGTCCCAGGCCACAGCGAGTGGGGTGGCGAAGCAGTTTACGTTTGACCCTCCTGGGGTTCAGAGCTAAGGTCCCGCTGTGGGTGGGGGGCATAGCCGGGCGTCGCCTAACTCCTCCTCTTTGCGAGCCGCGTGGCGCCCGGGGACCAGTAGGCGGCGCCCTTCCTAAACTGCATCCGCCTCCGGCTCCCTCTTGGGAGCGCAATCACATTCCTTTCACTTTGGGCCCTTTGCAAGGCACTATTCTGTGCCTCCGCCCGAGTTGGCAGCTTGTCGGGGACAGGAGGGTTGGGAGGTACGGTCCATTCTGAAACCGCGAGCACGACCACCTCACCCCACCCTCCCAGCCCCCAATCTTCCAGGCTCCAAGGGCTGCGCACATTACGGAGAATAAGAGGCCCCGAGGGGCTTGCAAACTAGAAGGCATTGATGGAGGACCCTTACCCAGCCCGGGGAACAAGAGTTCGGGTGCTGGCATCCCGATCCGAGGAGCGGAAAGGGGGAAGGGCACCTTCCGTAGCCTCTTCTCAATGCCCGCGTATTCGCCCTCGAGGGCTGACTGGGTTGTTGGTTCCTCACCCCAAATCCCGAAACTGATTCGGCCCTGCACCCAACCGGTCCCCGCTTTGGTGCTGCCTCAGGAGGCTAACTGCATGGACCCTACTCAGTGATCCTTCGGTCTCACTGCCAGGGATTTAGCGACTTCTAGTCGCTAAGTGCCAGGCTAGGCTCTGCTTAGGGGCTGGAACCAGCGCAGCCAAGCGCAGGTGGCAAATGCCCACGCAGCCCCAGCACCGAGGTGTCTTAGGCGCTGCCTTGGGTAACTTCCGCGCCCCAGTCCAAGTCTGCGAACAAACCCCGATCCTGGCACATGCTTGAAGATTTCCCCCAGCGACCCCAAGGCGCATCGCCTTCGACACGGCCCAAGATGCGGCCAAGCGGAGGCACCGAGCCTCGAGGAGGGACTTGGGACCTTACAGACATGCAACTACTTCTGGGATTGAACGCGGGAAGCATTTCCTAAATGTCCGTACCTGGGTCTGCCCGGCCGGCCGCCCCCGAACTTAAAAGTCTCTAGACACCAGAAAAACCAATGATCAGCGAAACTCAGCTCTGCAAAGGAGAAAACCCTAAACTTAATTTGGGGCTTGTACTTAGGACAAAGTACGCAAAGAAAACCCTAGATCCTGCAGAGGCCAAGGGCAGGAGGGATGCGAGCAGGGGGCAGCGATTTGGGCACCAGCCTTCCAGCCTCTGGCAGTTTCGCTGCCTAGCCGGGAGGCGCCTTGCGCAGCCCCTCGTTGGGGAGAAACGCCGCGGGCTCCCCAGTGCGAGGTTCCCGTTCCCAGGCAGCCCCGCGGGCTTTCGGCTCCCAGCCCCGAGCCTGGGCAATCAGACCCGGGAGGCCCGCGCCGCGCTATTTGCATATTCCCGGGAACACAAGGAGGCCTGTAATTTTCTTTTTAAAATCGTTGGACAGGGTTTAGGGCCAGTGCTTCCAAACCCCGCAGAGTTGATGTCGTCCCTAAACTCTCTCTTAAGAGAAGGGGACTGGCCTATTCTTCTGGCTTTTTTAGAAGAGATGGTGACTCCTGGGGCTGCATATTCAACAGGGGGGGAAAAGCTGATTGTGAACAGGGCTGTTGGAGGGGTGGATGCAGGGAGCTGGGGCGCGGGGGGTAGGGAAAGTCATCTCTGGAATTCAATTGTTTAAAAAATCATTTATAATTAAAGGGACAAAATAAAATACGATCGTCTCATGCATATTTAATCATTCACACTTCCAGCTTTGAAACCATTTTCCCTGCGTGAATTTTCTCACTAATTTATACTCTGAAGTCGACTGCCGTTCTCGAAAACATCTGGATAATGCTGCTTTCAAACTTGTTTAAATTCGAATAAGCTAAAGGAGCTCCGTTGCAGGGTGAAAAAGAAAGTAGTAAAAGCAAAAACTCCGGTGAAAGTTTGGGCTGTGTTTTTTAAACCAAGCAGGGTTAAAGTAATCTTGAGTAGAAATGCAAATATGTGCGTTTTGATTTAGCCTAATTAAACCGGTGTTTTGTGCAAACACATCCTCTCTACACTCAGGCTTGGGTTTAATAGAGCAAATTAATTCCCCTGGCGGAGATATGTTTTTGCTGTAAGCCCTCCCCTCCCTCGATCACTGAAAATTTCCCATGAAATTCCACACGTCCCAGGTTCCACATCTCCCGCGGAAAATGGAGACCCGAGCATCGGAGAGAGTTGACGGGCCTCATACGCAGGGCGGTAGCTCTTCCTCATTGGGGACTGAGACGCAACCTGACTTTCCATTTTAATATGAAATATGCGGGTTTAAATGGAGAAAATAAAACCTCAAAATACTTTTTGTAGCTACTCGGACTCTTGAATCCGAGATGGGAAAAGTGCTTAAGTGACGACAAGCCTGACCAAGTCCACAACGGCCTCATTATTTAGGCAAATATCCTCGAACTTTTGAAGGCCCCCTTGCCCCAAAAGGGGCCTGTGGGGGTGGGGCGGTAGGGGCTCTTCTGGTCTGTTCGGGGCTCCCCTCACTTCCCCCAAGCGCCTGTGGCGCTCCCTCCCCCACTTCTGCCCACTCTGTCTCCAATCTCCGACTCTGCAAAGTGCAGGCTTGTAATTCAGGACAAGTGTGACACCTACCTGTGAAAGGGGGGAACCGTCCCCTCGCTGGTCCGCCGCCCCAGCCCAGAGGTTGCGCCGGGATCTACCCGGCCGCATACCACCCGCACGGTCTCGGATGGAACATTTACTAATTTAATCAAATCCAGCGAAGAGATCAACGGCCAATTTTGAAGGGGTAGAGAAGACTTTGACTTGGGAAAGCCTTCTCCTTGGCATCCCCTAATGCTCCCCGCCACCATTAGCCCAGAGCACCTTTGAAATAGTAATAAGGGCTAAATCCGGCATAAAATCGAACTCATTAGCAAAGTTCACCAGCTGATTGCTTTGCATAAAACACGACACTGATTCGAAGTAATTAGGTTAAGCGATGGAGCTCGGGTGGTGCGTGTCTCTAGCTGGCTTTGCCATCTCTTCTCCCTTCTGGGCACACACTTGGGTCTCTCTCCTCTCTCCTCTGGGGTCCAATCTCCCCCAAGCAGCCCGCATCACCAAATCTGCATTCCGGGCAGGGCCAGGTTCCCCGGGGCTGAGGCTTAATTACAGTTTCTCGCTGGCACACTAGGTTTCGTAGAACCTTTCATTCCCCACTTCGGGGGGGGGGGGGGGAAGTTGCAGTTTGCACCTTTCGTCCATGGCGATGGACAGTTTATTGAGGCTTCTAAAAAGTAATGAGTGGCTCTGATTATGTTAAAATCTCTTTTAATTAAATATTTTGCATTTTACAAAGGCGGCTGCAGTTTCTTTTACTTTTTAAATCTAAGTGTATAACCTGTTTCCTTTCTGTAATAATACTTTAGCTCATACCCAGAAAAATCAATAGGTGTAAAAAATTAAATTAAACTTGTATTTTTTAAACTATGAAACAGTTTTGGGGGCAACACAAATGTATATATTTATATTACAAAAAAACCATTAAATGCCTGTACAGGTGTCTTAATTTCATAATTTACTTCAAAGATATTGAATTATCAATTTAAATACAAAATGCTACATTAAATATACAGAATAAGATTTAATACAAATCATTTTTGTAATTTTCCTTTTCGGTTGGTTAAGACATTTTTGTGTTTATGTGGAGATGTTTACATTTTTATGTCATCCATCTCCATGAATTATAAACTTTTTAATAGGAGGGGTAGTTTCGTTTTTCTCTCATGTTGATGGAAAAATAACTGCCAAGGCCATGTTTTTTTAATAAATTAGGAAAGTCCGGGACCGACGCAGCCCGCGTTAAATGTCGGACATACCTTTCTTCAATTCATAGGGAGAGTCTTTGCACAGGTCTAGCTGGGACTGGCTCCGCAACATTTTCGGGTCTTTAGCCAAAGCGTCCGCTCTGTTCAACACGGTCTGGTTTAATCCATTGAAATGCGAGCCCGGACCCGTGGTGGGGCCTGGACCGGGGCCTGGGTGGCCGTGAAGGTGTCCAAAGGAGCCATAGTTCGTGTAGCCAGGATAGAAGGGCGCCGTGTAGTAGAGAGGCCGGGACAGCACCGTCCCGCCTGGAAAGGGACACTGCGCCGAGGGTGAGCGCGATGGCGCCGGGGCCGGCGATGCGCGGCTGCCTCCTAGGGCTTGCCCGGCTACGGGCCCGGGGCACGGTGGGCACGGAGAGCCCTCGCTCCCTCCGCCCCCGTCCTTGACCTTGTCCGAGGATGTGGCGATCTCCGCCAGAGACCACAGTTTGGGCTTGGCGAGCACCGCCTGTGGAGGCGGTGGTGGCGGGGAGTGTATGACCGAGGGCCCTCCGGGACCCGGGGGCAGCTCTCCC